CTTCAGTTCGCTCTTCAAAACGTGCTGAAGGCGAGGGGGAAGGCTCGCGCGGCGTCCATTCTCAAGGCTTACATCGAGAAGGGCGAGTTCCCTCAGCACGACATCGAACCAGCGCAAGGGACTGTCATGCTCGGGGCCGTCAAAGGCGTGTCCACAGCCGCAATCCGGAAGCCCCTGTTCATCGACGCCCACGGCACACCGTGCGCGGTCGCGTCCCTGATGCAGCAGACCGCACACGCCGGCCTGGCTAGCCGCGTGTCCCGCGCTTGGAGCACCCTCCTGGTGGACGAGTTCGACCTGAAATCCAAGCTTGGGCAAGAGGTCGCGGCCTGGGCACAGTCGGAGCTCGATCTCAGCACATGCGACCTCGCAGTGATTCAGCCGACGTACGAGCACATGAAGAGCGCGCGCTACATGCTGCAGGAGCGACGTAAAAGGGTCATGCGCCTCGAACTCGAGGCCGCCCAATTGGCGAAGCGGCTGGGCTCAATCAACAAAACGCTGTCAATCGCTCGCAAGCTGCTCGCCGCTGCGGAGTGACGAGGCACGAATGCTATACAAGAGCTCTCTCACCGTCGCTCTCAGCTGTGCGGCCCGCGCCGCGGCAGTGCAGGCGGAGACGGACGAGGCGGCGGCGCGGCCCGCGTGCCGTGCGAGGCCCTGGGCCTGGCGCGGCCAAGCAAGCGCGGCGGAGCGGGAGCGGGAGCGCGAGAGGGCGGGGGAGTGGCTGCTGGTTGTTTAGTTAGCAGCTTGTTTAGTTCGTACGACGGAGGGGTGAGCATGCCCTAACCCTCGCAAAATGCCGAACCACCGAAAGTCGGCAAACCCCGCAAAGTGACCAGTTTTTACCCGCCCACGCCCGTGCAAGTCCCTCGTGTCGCGCGTGTAAGTCCCGGTTGCCGTGCGCGCCAGCGCGTGTGGCCGCGTACCAGATACGCGCGCACGGGCGTGGGGGGTAAAAACGCGCTCCCATACTTTCTCATGTCGCACTTTGGCAGCCTGGCATTCGCTGCGGCGACCGCGATTGCTGCGTGGCAGAGCCCGCGAGTGCACCGCGCGCCCAACCCGCACGCGGAGCTTGTCGTCGTTCTCGAGCAACCGCGACACCTCGGAGGCTTCCTCGGCAACTCTGGCTCGGTGGCTCCGCTGCCCGGCGGCCGCTTCTGCGTCAGCGACACCTCGAGCGGCCGCGTCCTTCTCATCGGCTCCGACGGGACGCGCCTCGCCTCGTCGCCCGCAATGTTCGAAGCTCCCGCTGCGCTCGCCCTCTCGCCTAGCTGCGATAGCGTGTACCTGGCCGACGCGACGGGCCACGCTCTCCACCGCCTCTCCCTCCCGGACCTGTCGCCCATCTGCAGCACCCGCCCGGTCGAGGGCGCGAGAGGCCTCTGCTACCCGGCCGGGCTCGCCGTCTCGCCTCGCGACGGGCGGGTGTTCGTGTCCGACAAGGGGAACCACCGCGTCGTGTGCTACGACGCCGCCCTGTCGGTCGAGCTCTTCTCGCACGGCCGCTGCGGTGGCGGCGAGGGCGAGCTCAACTCGCCGAGCGGGCTCGCCCTGCTCGGCGGCGGCGGCGCAGAGGAGGAGCGGCTGGTCGTCGCAGACACGGACAACCACCGGCTGGTCCTCCTCGGCTCGGAGGGCGGCTTCGTGCGCTCGATCGGAGGCCGGAGCGACGCCCCGCCTCCCGGCCTCTCCGAGCCCGAGTTCCTCGAGTGGCTGTCGAGCAGAGGCGCGGCGCAGAGCGGCGCCGTCCGGCCTTCACTGGGAGGCCCGTCTTGGCTGTTCGCCCGTTCAACCCGCTGGCTGGGCAGTGCTGCTCGCTGAGCGAGCGGGCGAGCGGAGTGTGGCACCTGCTCTCGCCGGACGGCGGGCGGGTGCGGTCCGGCTTCCGGCCGCACCAGCGGCTGCTCGAGGAGGGTGTCGGCCGCGAGGCGTGCGAGGGAGGCGAGGGCGGGCAGGAGGAGGACGGCGCCGGGAGCTGGGCCTGTGGCTTGGCCGGAGGGTCGCGAGCCGGCGACGCGGGGCGCGTCTTTCTGGTGGAGGACTGCGGCGCGCGCGTGCGGATTGCGCGGACGGTGCGACTGGTTTAAGGCTCGACGATTTGTGTGGATTGCTATATGCTAATTAAAACAAAAATTCGCTTGAGCTTGCTCGGGGGCCTAGTTTTGCTCCGGGACGACGGACTTCTCCACGCGGAGAGCCGCGCGCCGGCGGCGCGTGTGGGTGCCCCGGGCACTGACACGCGACGCCGACGGCGAGACACGGCCACGATTACCCGTCTGCCGTCACTCCCTCTCGCACAAGGGCCGCAAGCGAACACCATTAAGTGGGTCCTTTTGCTTTTACACGAGGAGAGCTCGAGGGGGGGGGGGGGGGGCCAAACTGGAGGGGCCAAAATACGCTGCGCGAGGAGAGCGGACTGCGGAGCTACGCCTGCAACGGAGAGAAAGAACTGACGTGATCTCAGAACCACTCGAGACCTTTTCCGGACCCGGTGGAGGCTCGGCCGGCGAACTCGTCCCGTAATTAGTATTCCCGCACCGGCGACTGCCACTCGCCATCAAGCTCGAGCAGCGCGCGGTTGCGCCGCCTCCCCTCCTCCGTCTGCGGCGGCCGCGAAGCGAAGCAATGCGTCAATAACTAATTGGCACGCAGAGAGAGAGAGAGAGAGAGATCTGCGTGCGGCATGGGACGAAGCGAAGCAATGCCTGTTGCCTCGGCATTAATTGGCACGCACGGGCTCGGCCTCGGGCGTCGGGGGGTGCTGCGGACTGAAGACGGCTTCTATGTCGAAAGCGTCCGCCGGGGGGGGCGATGACGATGGAGTGGCGCCTGTGGTCGCGACCCCAGCCGCCGGTGCGCGGCTGGCCTTCCTGGGCCCCCTCCTCATTCGTAGTTGCACCAGCATCCCTCCTCATGAGCACTTGAGCACTGGATAGGGTCGATTCCGCATGGTACGGGACCCCTCGATCGTCTCGCCCTCCCTCACTGGTGGGTTCATCGGGGGGGGTCATAACAAACACGGTACAGGATCGAGGTGCACGCTGCCGAGGCAGTGTCGTCCCCCCTCTCCCCGACGGCGATGGCGGTGTGACCGATCGAGCTACAAGAGGAGCTTGTTCAGCATCCCTCCTCATTAGTAGTTACGCCGCAGAAGCAGAACCAACAAAAGCAGATCATCCCCAAAA